CACCTGCTCCTTCCGTCATCCCTCCCTGGACCTCTCTGTTGACTGCTTTCCCTTTATCTCTTCCCAGAAAGGGCATGCTGCGAGGGTGGGACGTGATGGGAGGAACTCAAGGAGGTGGCAAGAAGAAGTTTTTCCGAGTTTCATACAGGGCTGGCTATCATTTCCTTTTACAGCATGCTACAAGCTCAAGCTGCTCTCATAACTTCTACCTGGTTTTCCCCTGCCAGCATTGGAGGCTAAATATAAGCTCGCGGAGCTGGCCCTGTGTCCCTGCCCATATCTGGCAGCGCCTGGCATTCCACCACAATTTCAGAGGGCCAATGCTTTTCACGAACTTGGCAGCTGAAGAGAGCCACTTCTCCCTGAATAAGCTGTATTTGTTTCTGAAGGAATAGGAAACACATTGCTAGTTTTCTCTTCAGTGCAAAGGGCTATGCTACTATTTTTTTTTTGAGTGCTTATGTTTCACTCCACCTCTGGGAAGAAAAAAAAGTCACGCCAAAAACTTGTTCAGACAGTGCTGCTTGTTCAATAGTTTGTTTGGTAACACTGGGGTTTTTTTCAGGAAACTGGTATTTTTAAAGAACTGGCAGTTATTAAACAGTGTTTAATGCGTAAGGGAAACTTATGATGAATATGTTAGCATCTGTGCCAGACCAAACATCTGTAGTTTTTAATGAAGCAGGCAACAGGAAATCAGAATTTTGATTCTGTTTTTCAGCTGACATTATTCATCTGCTATTTTAAATTCAACCAAGTTGTAGAATTTATTTTTTTGGTTCACAGGGTCAAAAATGAATAGCTCTAGTTTAACAAAGTATTCCACATAAACTAGACATGTGAGTAAACTTGTCCTTAAATTACTTGCTTACACACTGATAAATGTGGATGATAGTTTCAAAAAACCACAGAGGTATATACTAACTCAAAGTAGGAGCCTGCCAATTTTCTAGGTTTTAGGCTGCACTTTCACGTTAGAAGTACCTGTATAAATCCAGAGCTGAGGACTAACAGTTCCTAGTTTGACTTGACAAAGTATCCCCAGAGTAAACAGTGGCTGCAGCCAGCCTGCCCTCCTCTGCTACCTCGCCCCAGCGCAGCCCCTTGGCGGGGGCTCAGGCCAGCCCCAGGTATCACCTCCTGCCTGGCTCTTACAGCTCAGCCTCCAGTCACCAAAGGGGACCTTTATTCTTTTGGTGCCTACTGGGGAAGGAAGTCTCTGGCAACATCTCTCCTGGCTTCTAATTTTTCCACTCAGTTAGCTAACAGTGAGGGGGACAACGAAAGCTGCCACAACATAAAAATCATCATCTTTTGTGAGCTGGGTTACCTGCCTTAATTAAAAAGTAAAGCAAATTAGAATAAACTACCATGAAGGTGATGAAAATCAAAGCATGAAGTGTTTAAACTGTTATGTCATATTTAACAGGTGGGGTAGGCAAACGATATCCCTGCCTTACACATCCTGAGCTTAAGACCACAATTTAGTCATGGCAATTGAATGACTTTAAATTGTCCTGCTGATGCAAAATTAAGGATTCAACATCTATAGAGGCTGGTACCCTTAACTGCAGCTTTTTTGGAAATGGCTGATGCAGAAGGGATGTCAGAGAAAACAGGATGAAGGAAAGCACCCTGACCACACTATTTTGCAGACATACTGCCTATATTATTAGAATGGGCTTGTGACTGGAAAAACTACTCAGAAAGTACTTCTTGAAAACATGAAAACCTTGATAATTGCAAAACACTGCTGACCAATTCAGTTAATACATCTTGGAAGGGCAATAATGGTCTCCAGATAAACTTGGTGAGGAGGAGAAATAGAGTGAGATAAACAAGCTATAATTCAGCAAGGACAAGGGCAAACTTCTACATGTTGTTTGGAACAAATGACTGGGAAAACAGGTTAGAAAATGACATGAAGGATCTGTGAATTACCATGTGCCACCAACCAAATGCCAACCATTTCATACTGCTGAGAAAAAAATGAACGTCATATGGCGATGTATGAACAGCAGTGCCACATGCAAGATGTGCAAAATCATCCTCCTACTCTATTTGCTGCTGAAAGCCTCAGCCTGAATGCTGTGCCCAGATTTAGGCACCACACTCCATGGAAGATGTGGAATGGTCAAAAGCAAGAAGACTGCTGAAAGTCTGATTAGCACAGTCTGAAGAAACCTGGGATGGAAGGGAAGAGGACTGGGCGAGTGAGAGTGGTCCCAAATTTGCAAAGAAAAAGAAAAGAAATTATTTTCCAGACGCAGTGGATAAATAAGGAGGACAGAGGGGAATTCAGGTTAGACATGATGCAAATGCTGTAGCGGTAGTGCAGTGAAACACAGGAGGAAGCAGTCATAGGAGAAGACAAAGTGCATGGAGAAAAGTATCTGTTATGAAAGATGTAATCCTGTCCTGTGTCAGAGGGCAGATGATGTCTGGAGAGTGTCCCCCCACCTCCGCAATGCTGATGAAAAGTTAAAAATCCTCAGCTGCTATAAACTGGGAAAACGTCATTAATGATGTATACCAGTAAAGGGGCCTTGCCTGAAATGTGTCCAGTGTAATCTTTTTTCTATCTAATTTTTGCTTTTAGCCCTGAGATTATGAGTAATAGATACAGGGCTACATCGTTAGCCAGAAATCCTTTAGCTTTCTAAAGGTCAGTTAATCTATGATCTAATCCGATGGTCACTGAAATTAAATGGAAGAAATTGAGCAGGCTATAATGGAGGGTGGTTAGTGTCTCCAGCTTTCAGTTACCTTGAGTTAAAATATCTTTTATAAGCAAAACAACATATATGTATGAAATACATTTTGAAACACATGACAAATCTTTACGCTGTACTGCAGCAACAAAATAAGGCAACCCTGCCTTTCTAGCTATCTGCCAGTTTAAAACAGGTCTCATTAAAACTCCAAAATGCCTTCAGTGCCTTCTGTTCACCTGTTGATATTCCCATCCCTTGGGAGATTTTATGCAGCTGGGGAAGCAAACAAGATTCACCTGAACTTGGCTGCTCTGTCGACTTGTTTCACAGTGAGAGCTGAGCTGCCCTTTTAAGAGTGGAATACTTCAACAAAGCAAGACCAAACAAACAAACAAACAAACAAAAACCACCCCCCCAAAAAAACCCACCTAGAAAATCACCAAAACACAACACAAAAAAAAAAAAAAAAAGGAAAAGAAAAGCAGAGCTGGCTATACAGCTCAGTACTTAAATGAGTACTTAAATAGAAATGTGAAACTTTTCACAGTTATCTATAAATTTCTGAAGATTTCAAATCTCAGCACCGTCACTGTTGGCAAATTAAAGATCTGAAAAGCTGTCCCAGGGAGCAGATGCTTTGATCCCTGAACAAAGATAATATTTCATATTTTTGAGTCCTTTTCCCCATGTACTTTCATTTCATATGGCTGGACTTTAGAGTGCTTTTCTGCTACGCTTGTAACATATCTGGAAATCCCCTCCTATGTAATGTTACATGTAATATACACTACTTAGTTTGAATATTTAATTTTATAATACATGAGCAGGCATAAGAACCCACCAAAGAAACCAAAGACTCAGGTCAGAGCGATACCCTTCTTTTGGCTCTGATTTTCTCATGCTGCATTTCCTCTAGATTACAATATAATTTAACTTTCATGGATGTCATCTGAAAATGAGAGCCAATGTAATGTAGCTGAATTCTCTTTGTCACTGAATATATTCTGTGCATTAGCTGGTAGTGTGATGCACTGAAGCATAGTCTTTAATTAAAGTGCAACAATACCACAGTGCAACAGTACTACAGTACTGCCATGGCATAGGAACCTGGTGCTGGATATAAAAATAACTGTGCTTGAAACGTGTCATATCACTACACAGTGTAACTAAGTCAGTGGAGACACTCTCACACTTGAAACCTGATGTATTACTGAGAACTGATTTTCGGCTGGGGAAGCTGTGATCAAATCAATGCATGCATTATTCTCCACAAATGAATAATGGCATGAACAAGGACATATTAAACACCTACAGCGCACAGAGCTTTTCACACTGGTTATGAACCAAACACAAACAAGAGGCTGTGAACTCTCCAGAGCTCTCATTTTGTCTCCCATGAAGTCCTCCTGCCTGTTTCGGTACAATACGCGGCATCCCCACAAACGCCCTGCTGCAAACCGGAGAGGGCACTGACTTCAGACTGGGAGCAAGATCATCCTTCTCTCCTCCTTTTCCTACCCTTGAAGAAAACAAAACAAACTGAAACCACTCTGTACCCCACAGTGAGTGAAGGTAATACAAAAGCCAGGGCTATGAGGATGCCTCTGCTGGCACAAGAGCCAGGGAGTAGCCAGCGCTGCTTCCATCCATTACCCTCCGTGTAGGATGTGCTGGCACTGACAAGACAGGTCTGTTCCTGACCAGGGGTGTCAAAGCTCTCTGCCTCAGGGCTGTGAAACCCTCCCTATGCTCGGCCAGCCAACACAGGGACTTTTGGAGAAACTCAACCCAGAACCAACCACCACCCTTTTCCCACAGACAGGTGCCTGCCAAGCCAGGACAGCACTGCTCTGCTCTCGGAGAGAGCCGTCACTCTCTAAATGCCCAATGTGGGCAGTCCCTTTGGTTTGCCAGCATAGCTGACACTGTCAATGTTGCATGGGGACCACTGCAAAGGTCTCCCTTCGAAGCTAGAATCAAACATCCACAGAGAACAGCAGCTGTGCTCCCACTCTGCACAAAGCATGGCATTCACACATCCTTGTTCCTTGCTACTGCACAGGCTTCATCACATCCTGTGGCAGGGTGCTATGCCATACCGCAGGCCCTGGTATGATTTTAACATCCCAACACCGTAAAAACAGTTTAGGAGAAGAGGTAGTGTGGATTTGGCATGGGGCAGCGCTGCAGGGATGAGGCAACGGGAACCATGCAGTGATGCTTCTCTGCTTGCTGGGAAATGTCAGGTAGGCACAAACACACAAAAGAGAGAGAGGAGATAGTTACCTAACATGACGAAGGGGATTCCAAGGAAGGTGGAATTGTATTTCCCACCAGTGAGATTGATGATCCCAGCTGCGGTCAGGGTGGCAAGGGTCACAGTCAGCAATCCCAGCAGGCCAAGCCAGGGTTTGCTGCGGACACAATCCTGCATGGAGCAGCAGAGAATGGCCAAGGTGACCACAAGGACCAAGCTTGTGATCAGGTAGCGTTCTGATACCCTGCTCGTCTTCTGGAAATCCTCCTTCAGCGAAGAAGAAGTGAAAGGATACATTTTGACTTTCCTGTTGGATTTCTGGAAAAGTTCAACAGTGTCACAAAAAATGGATTCCCACTTCTCTGCCACCATGTCATTCAAGGAGTTGATTGCCTGCAAGTAGTAGGTGAGCTGAATGGCTTCTGCAGACTTCACCCGGTCCTTGCTGTGCACAGTAACCCCACCGAGCTGATGCCCGTTATACACTTCCCTGCCATCCTTTAAGTGAGTAATCGGATAAGTGATTGCAAAATTAGTTCGATTAGAAGAACGAGCAGCCTTTAATTCCTCCAGTACATGCACTATGTCGTCCACTATGCATGTCTTGTCATTGTTCAGGATACATATATGGGCAAACGTGTAATTGAAACCAGGTCTTTGAACTTGGATCCTGGTCACTGCAGAGTGCAACTACAAGGGAAAGAGAAATCACACACGTTATTCATCAGTTCATCTCGCACAGCAGCAGCCAGAACAACAGCAGCTCCTCACTGCCGTCCCTGTCCTATTTGATCTAAGCAACAACAACAACAAAAGTTCTGGTGACGGCAGTATTAATAGCACACTCTTTGCAAAAAAAAAGGAAACATGCATCAAAACAGCAGTATTATTCCCCCATGTCCTTTGCTGGTAACTGTATTGTGTTGCTGTATTGTGACTTGCATCTGCACCATGCGCATCTGCTGTTTGGCCTCTCTAAATAAGCAAACTCAAAAGGTTCAGACCTCCACTTTCAAGTGATGTGGGCCACAGTAAAAAAGAAATCTATAGACCAACCATGTCCAGGGACACTGTTGTGCTCAGGATTGCCCAATGACTCTCTCAAAAATGAACCTGAAGTACAGAAGGCAGAAGAACAATATGACCAAGTGTGCCACCTGTGCAGGATGCACCAGCAGCCTGGCAGTGGCAGGGCACCAGCACTCACTTAAAGGACAGCCCACAGCTGCATGCCCTACATATAGAGACTGTTGGCACAGCAGGAAAAAGATAGCTGGTAATAAATAATTTGCCCTCTTTCCCCCTCCCTCTTTCCCCCATCAAATCCTCAGTATGTCAGAAAGAAGGAAGCAATGGCAGAGATGGACACTGGTTTTCTCCTTCTCTTTCTGAGAGGTTCTGTAAATTAATAAGGATCTCCTAACTTCAGGGTCTACAGGTTACTGTTAGGTCTAGCAGCTTTTACTGCAGCCTCCTTTGTAAGTTGTTTTGCACGCTTCTGAAATTTGCCATGCCTGAGCTCTGACCCCAAAAGCATTCAGTTATTTTTGAGCGTCAGAAAGACAGAAAAATCACCATTTCTTCTTGAAAAAATATAGAAAACTCTTGCAACCTTTTCTGAATCCATTTTAGTCAAAACAGAAGAAACAAGAAATCTAAACAATGGCAAGGGAATAGCCCTAATAGGCTGGGTTTGCAACATTTTAAAAAAAATAAAATATTGAGCTCGCTAATGTTTGGAGCCTTAGCAAAGTGCAAGCTGTTTTTTTGCAAATTTTTCTTGTAAAATGATAAGGCCTCACTCACCACCATTACCATTTAGCTCCTAGCTGCCACCCTAGCTGTGTAGAGAGTTCCAAGACCTTCCACAAGGAGGCTGCTGAGCCCAACACTACAATACCCACAACAAGTCTGAGCAGACTTCCCCTGTGGCTGTGATGTCCTTCATGGTGGGTGGCCACAGAAGAGGTGGTCCAGGAAGGAGGTCCCTCTGCTCTTCTCTAGGTGGCACAGGGGGTAACCAACAACCCAAGTGTCAGGGACCCCTGCACATTCCTGTGCATCTGCTTTGTGCATGGTTTGGTGGGAGATGTGACCTCTCAAGGTGTGTGCAGGGACAACGCAGAGGGGCACACACCCCTCGTGCTGCCTGGGGACAATGATCCCACGGACCCGGCTGCACAGCCAGTCGCTTGGATGACACATCTGATGCGATGGGGGGAGCAAATCACTGCATCTGCTCTGAGGAACTGCATGGATTTATCCTTTGGTCCCTGTTACACCGAGGGAGTTGATGCAGAAGCGCATTGCAAAGGTATGGTGACAAAAGCAGGGCTGGTAAAAGAGAAGGAGAAGCCCTCCTTCACCTGCAAAGTGGAGAGACCACAGCTCTTCCAAGGAGCTGAATGGCCAAATCAAGAAGGACTCTCTTTTCCCTAAAGGAGGAAGTATTTATACTGTGCCTTCAGATTTTGAGCAAGAGACCTGGCTACAGGGATGCGGTTCTTTTTTTTTTTTTCTACTTGCATGTGCTGTTTTCCACTGTAATCCAAAGAGGGCAGGAGACTCTTCTGACCAGTAAAGAGGCTGGAAACAGGTGATATTTAATGGAACTGGCTCCTTTCTGATGACAAACATTGTTTAAAAAAAATAGAAGATAGCATACACGAGAGCAGTAGAGCTTATACACTCCTCTGGTGTCAATGGACAAAATATCTAATAATCATGGCTAAACTGCTGCATCTGTTGAAACCAAATAGTCTTAGTGACTTTTGTGTGGTATTTGAGACCTATTTGTAGAAAAAACCCCCACTTTGTGATTACACTGCACAATCTCTGATGGGTATAAATTGTTATGTTGCCTCCATTCCTCAGGATAATGTGACATCATACAGGCAAAGATTACAACATTCCTATATTCTCAACCTTTTTTTCCAGCAACTTGGGAGTGTATTTTTCCACATCTGAATAGTTTTTATTTTTTTGACAGAAATAACAATTCAATACTGACATTAGGAAGATAAATTTGAGAAACGAACTAAACTAACAAATCTTTTCAAAGTACTGTTAGAACATGATACCTGGCCATTGTGAGGAGCAAAATTTCCTGTTGTGGAGAACAAATAAATGTCTGTGCAACAGACTAGGGACTTCTGCACGACTTTCTTATTAAAAAAAACCAAACAACAAAACAAATTAGAATATTTGCAGTCACAAGCCAAAGAAATGAACCTGTATGGCTCATTCTTCCCTTCTTTTGAGCTTGGAGTTGCAAAGCTCTGCTTTGAAAGAGCTGTTATGGGGTACAAATTCAAACGTACATCTTTATAGTGTGAGGAGAAAGACCTGATTTACTGAATCAAAGACAGATTATCTGATTTTAATTTTTTTACAATGGAAGCTACTGTATGGTTTTCATTGACAGCAGCTACAAAATCGGACGTCATATAAAGAAGCGCAGCTGAGGGCAACGAGGAGGAATAGAAGGAATTTCCTGCCTTTATTAATTCACAATACAAATCCTTCAGAGAGGATCCATGGAGTGACACAATGCAGAAGAAACTAAACTGACATGCAACTTTTATCAGAGTGTGTTGCTATTCACCTATCCTGCCTCACTGCTGCATTTGCTTCCTCCTACATCTGAAGCACTTTCTTTTAATATTTAGGTTATAAAATAACCTCATCTGTCACAGCTGTTACTTCACTTTTAGTGAAAGGCTAGAAGCTGAACGTCATACTTAACATACTCCCTTCCTCTTGGCAATGATCATTTCTGACTCAGGTGCCCGTTCTGCAGCAGTGACCTGGTGCTTTCTGCGAGACCGTGCTGGGCTGGACTGGGCAGCTGCTTGGGGGCAACCTGCCCATGGAACCTGCCAGCGATGGGGCTTCAAGGAGGAGAGAAAAGGAAGCAGACAGCTCTGTGTCCTGGCACACCTGGCAGCTGAGCAGCACCCAGAGCTGGCTGCCAACTTGTGCAGTTTAAAGCAGCTATGAGATATATCCTGAGCTTTGCCAGTGGCCACAACATTCGGTCTCCAGTTGGCAGCAAACAGCCGAAGAGGAGGAAAACTTGCCATTCCCTCCATCCCAATAAAGTATGCTGAGAACTGCTCCAGGACGACCAAAGACTCAGCTCTGGGAAGCCTGGCTAAGATTTTCATCCTCAAGACAAATACATCACTATATCTGCACTTTGCTTTTTCAGACCAGATCCTAGGAAAAACCCTCTGCCACCTTAGGGCAGGGCAGGGCAGGGCAGGGCATGCTGCAGCATGGCTGCAGGCTCTCTCTTCTCTCCCTTTCCTTGCCTGTGACTGCCTGTGCACCACAGGGCTGCTGCCTCTTCCCTGCCGAAAGCTGCAGTCCCACGGCACTCTCCTTTCTGCTGCCATGCTGGGAACTCAGCTGCGGCCACACAGGTCTTCCCACTTGCATCCAGAGCCCACTCTCATAACCCTGGGTGACTGGCTTCCACAGAAAATAGAAGGTCCAAAAGCTTACAAGGATACACACATCCTGCAAGTTCAAGGGATTACGCAGTCTGCAATTTGGCTTGCCTGTGGTACACCAGGAGGTCCCCCAGGAAACTTCAGTCTGTCAACAGGGCATGGTAAAGGCTGTTGTGTGATGGGGACAACATCAGCAATATGGTTATGCATAATGCATATTGCACTCCTCAGTGCAGGATTTTAATAGCAAGTAATCATACTCTGAATAAACCTGGCATCTAGTTCTGGGACACACAACTGACTACCAGACTCTCATTTATTCAGCTGTTTTCTTATCCTTACTGATCCTGTTAGGAGAAAGGGAAAATTTAAAGGAATAACAAAAGCTGAATGAACGTTTTTTCTTGAAGGGAGACATGGACTGCTTGCTCATCACTCACAGCTTTTTCAGCTAGCTAGCAGTGCAAGGAACCAAAAAGCAGTTTACTGCTGGGATGCCAGAGCACTGCAGCATGAGAACTGCACACTTCCCATGCCATGGTGGCACACGGTCCCTGAAAGTGCTCTGGCACAAAATAGTAACTTCCACCTTTTCCATTTGTTGTCACTGAAACAGTGACCATCACTTGAACTTCCCCTCTCTTCTAAAAATGGTGCTTTTGCGTGTCCTGCACCATTCCAGAGATTTCTAGAACAGTGTTTTCTCTTCCTCTAGCCTTTAGTCATTTGCACTTGGTAGCATCTTGGTCTTTGTTTACTTTAAGTCCCAAGCTCGCTCAGTTATTTATTTTAGAAAGCAAGGAAAGATGGCTTCAACTGGGAGACAAATCCTGTTTGGCAAATACCTCCAGGTGAGGGCTGTGCTGGTCTCACCTCCACACCAAGCCACATTTAAGTCTGTGGCACAGTTGAGAGATGAGAGGTGGTGAAATTGCACTGCCCCACCAGCTGGTTCTACCTGTGGGCATAGAAGATGCCAGGAAGCGAAAGCTGAAATCCTTTCACTTATCCTGGGCTAAAATATTTTGCACCCAGGCCTCAGAGATCAATGGCTGCAAATTCTTCAAGTTGTTTTTGTCTGCAGGTCCTCCTGCTTCTGCCACCAGCACAGGAAGGCAGGTGCCAGAAAACAGGGCTCACTTTGGGTACCTTGGGATGGCCAAGCCCCACATTGGGCTCTGTGAGATAGCTCTCCATTGTAGACAGCTTTGCACAACTTTCAGCATTGGCATCAAA